GAGAGAGAGAGAGAGAGAGAGAGAGAGAGAGAGAGAGAGAGAGAGAGATTGAGAGAGTGAGAGAGAGAAAGAGAGAGAGAGAGAGAGAGAGAGAGAAAGAGAGAGAAAATAAGGAGCAACGCTCTCTTATCAGTTACATATTCGCAAATGGTTTCTGAAGCTTTGGTGTGTTTTCTTCTTTTTCTCTCTCCCATTGTTCTTATAAGGTTGGGGACGCGGGGAGGGCGAGCTGTATCATAAGCCGGGCGACAAGACACGGATGTCGCCGTTTATCTTACTCCTTGTTTGCGAATATGCGTACACATACGATAACCTGGCTTTGTGCGTACGCGGATACATACATATGTAAGCGCATATGCATGAATGTATGCGAAGGTAAATATAGGTTTGGTTATTGTCTTTGCTCATGCAATAATCTTTTCTCTCTCTGTCTCTCTATCTTTATCTTTATCTTTCTGTCTCTGTCTCCGTCTCTCTCTCTTTCTCTGTCTCTCTCTTTCACTGTCTCTCTCTTTCTCCGTCTCTCTCTTTCTCCGTCTCTGTCTTTCTCCGTCTCTCTCTTTCTATGTGTCTGTCTTTATCTCTCTCTCTCCACACACACACATACGCACACACACACACACACACACACACACACACACACACACACACACACACACACACATACACACACACACACACACACACACACACACACACACACATACACACACACACACACACACACACACACATTCACAATCCCCCCCCCCACACACACACACACATTCACACAGACACACATATTCACACACACACACACACACACACACACACACACACACACACACATTCACAATCCCACACACAACACAGCACGTGACAGACGCGACGCAGTAATGGAGCTTCCCTTTCACAAATTCCCGACGCTACTCCCAGACGCGAACCGACAAGCTCGGGCCTCCACCGCCGCGGAATACGTAACTGCCGTGTTCTAAGCTCGGTAAAAACACACATTACCGACAGTGGGATGAAAAGCGAGGTAAAATTGCGACTTGGCTCTATCAGATGTACTCTGGGAATTCTGCTGAATAATGGCGCAAAGAGATCACTTTTCGGGTTTCAAATTCACGCGCCGCCGACCGTCTGATCAGTCGCTGCGAGGACACGCGGATAAATTCGTCCCTCCCTTAGTTCTCCCTCTCTCTCTCTTTCCTCCCTTCTTCTTACTTTCTCCGTTCTCATCCCTTCCTCTCCTACTTCTTTCCTTTTTTTCATCGCCTTCTCCTTCTTTCCTCCTTTCTTCTCCTTCTTTCACTTCTTGTTTCGCCAATTCTATGTTCTTCCCGCAGTTTCCTTTATCTTTTCCTCTTACTCTCCTTTTTTTTTCCTTCCTCTCATTTCCTGTTTTCTCTCCCTCCTTCCCCTCGCTCCTCTTCCCTCTACGTTCCTCCCTACTCCACTTTCTTTCCCTTCTCCCTTCCCCTCACTCCCTTATCTTCCTCCTTCTCGCTCCCACTCTCTCTTTACCTTTTCTCCTCCTGCTTTCCTCTCCCTGTCCATCTTCATCATTCTCCCTCCTTCTCCCTCTCTACCTTATTCTTCCTCTTTTCCTCTCTCGCTCTCGTGTGTGTGTGTGTGTGTGTGTGTGTGTAAGGGAAGGGGTACGTAAGTGTGGGGGGAGGGGAGGGGGATGTCGTGGGGTAAAGAGGGAGGTCCGTGTGTGTGTGTGTGTGTGTGTGTGTGTGTGTGTGTGTGTGTGTGTGTGTGTGTGTGTGTGTGTGTGTGTGTGTGTGTGTGTGTGTGTGTGTGTGCGTTTATTTGTGTGTGTGAGCGCGTGCGTGCGTCCGCTATTTAAAAAAAAAAAAAAATATGCGTGTTCACCAGCAATTCTAAAAAAATAACAGATTAAGAAAATGCTCGTTTACAAGTGTTCCGTAATTTTCGTTTTGATAGAAAAGAAGAATACCAGCAATTATAAAGATAACGAAAATAACAAAAACTTCAATGGCAATAACATTAATGATAACAGTATCAATGCTAGTAATAATGATAATAATGATAACAACAACAACAACAACAATAATAATAATAATAATAATAATAACAATAATAATAATAATTATAATAATAATAATAATAATAATAATAATAATAATAATAATAATAATAACTACAGTAATAATAACTATTATGAATACTAATAGTAACAATCATTATTATCATTACAAATATTAGTAGTTGTAATTATAACTATAATAATAATTACAAAAAGGATTACCAAACAAAAATAATCGGGAGACACATTGATGAGAAAAAATATATATAAACAGTAATTCGAAGATAAAAGCTAGACAGGAAAGAAGAAAAGAAAGAAAGAAAGAAGGGAAAACAGAAGACGACGAAGCAAGTGAGGTGAATAAGAAAGAGGAAGAATAATGCGATAATGAAGATTATGAGAAAGAAAATTAATATATCACTCGGGTATGGATATCATTTACCTCTAATAAACCTTGGATTC